AAGCATCTACTGTAATTCCGAAGGAATTGTGCAGTCTCTGGCTACGCCTCCAAAGTATGCTCTACTATTGATTGATAGACTTATAGAAGGGGTTGTGCCAAGGGCCAGTATGGTCTAGTGGCTATGGCGTGTCCCTCATGCGTCGAAGGCGCAACATTAGGCAGACAGGCGGGCAGTTAAGGGGATGAGCTAGGGTGTGGACCGTTGAAACACAACTTTTACCTCTGGTCCCCTACAACAGTATAGGGAACATGATGCAGTTCCAAAGCATCACCCCCTCCGTCTTCGTCCCAAACGTGCTGCTTTGGAACAACGGAGCCCGCCGGCAGCGGATTTTCTGGCCATCAACGCTGCGTCCAGCAGTGACGTGGCATGGAAAACACATGCTTCTTCGAGTCTGACACGTTGTTGGCAGACATATGGACATGTATATGGCAGTGTTCTCAAGAAAACTCAAGTTTTTGTTGTTTCTGCTGTGTCGTCATTCTTCATGAGTGGAAATCCACACCAGAGACTTGGAGAGCCACAATAATCTAGTGAAGGTCCGAAGTTGCTACTGTTCAATCGCACACTGGTTTTTGCTTGAAAAGCAGAAGCCGCGCCAGCTCAGCTAGCGCTGCGGCGACGAGAAGCTAGGGCAGCTAGGGCAGCTAGGGAGGAGGAGCGGAATTCCGCTCAAAGGAACTACAGGAGAGGCGACTGTTGAGTTACAGGTCCCCACACAGACCGCGCCCCCAGTCTCACTTCTTTTTGCGGCCGACCCACTTCCCGCAAAAAAAACGAAAGTGACCGCTAAAATCGTCAAGAAGATGTTGATTCTAGCTTTTAAGGACACGATGAGAAGGCTGGTTCTTACAAAGGCGGTGCCGGTTCTCGTGCTAGTTCTCGCAAAAGGGGTTGGGTAAATCGCAACTATGTAATATTTTTCTTCGTTTAGGACGGACAGTTTATGCGATGGTAGTACATGGTGCACACATGACACTGGACATTGAAACGTTTTTAGATGTTTTTAGGGAATCATGCGGCTCGCGGTTGCTAGGGACGCTCCTGCCTCCGCTCCTAGGTGTAAGAGCTTGTCCTCCTCCTTCTTCCGCGACGACGTGTTGATGCTGGCAGGGAAGCCAACAGAAAGTGCCAAGGGAAGCCAAGGCGCAAAAAACAGTCATGTAGAGTCTTGACATACATTGACCTCCCCATTTGAAGTGGAACATCCTCTTCATATGGGGTGGGTTTTATATGGTTTTATGGTCCTCAAGAGTCTACAGGCAAAGAACCCAAACATGGTGTGCCAGGCAAACCTTTTTTTGGCAAAGCATTCAGTTGTGGACAGGAAACATCAATAATGGTATTATGTGTAAAACACATCAATTAGGCTTCAAACACAATAATATTGATATTGTTTGTTTGTTTGTTTGTTTGTTTGTTTGTACTATACTATATACTATATTTATAACTATATAAATATACACTGCTTATATGGTTCCCATGGTCCATCTCTAATATTTAACATATGAGTCATATGAGCCAACTGTTTCAGCCCTGTCTGAGACAGCAATGAGGCGGGCAACGTGGCGGATTCCCTACCACAGCTTCGCTTTGCCATGACTGTGCTGAAGAGCAAGCCCGGGGCTCCTGGCTCGGTCCGTCCATCCGTGCGGTGGCATGGGTGGAGGGTTTGACTGAAGATCCAAAGAAACCGTGGACTCCTGAGGATGTCTTCGTTTGTTTGAATCTCATTGTTGATTTCATGCGAAAGAGCTGGTGGCCCTACAAAACTAGGGAAAGAGAAGGTCTTGTACAAGAATGACCACTCCAACTACCCCAATCTCGTTACACTCCTTGAAATCGGGTACGTGGAGTTCATCACCACCGGCAGACTCGAAATGGCTGGTTTTCTGAACTCGGAGCGGACATGCCATCCGCGCAACCATGATCTCTGCAAAAGGAGTGTCCTCTTGTTACTAGTAGTAGTGGCCTCCAGCCTACTAGCTTCTTGCTAACCCCCAAAAATCAAAGAATCTCCGCAGTTCAAGGTTCCTGGGTATGGACAAATGACGACCGTGGGATGTAGCATCTTTTTGCCCCTATACACAAAACTCTAAGGTTGGTCTTATGACCTTGGCCGGATGTGGTATGTGTTTACCACACAAGGAGCTATGGGAAGCTCATCCATTTTTTGCAAAAAGCACACAATGTCCTTCCGTTCCATGCGATCAAGAAGCACCCCCACTTGTTCCAGTTCTCACGAAGCAACAACCCCTGCAGAACAAGCCGCATCTCTGTTCGCCGCATATTGCTCCGTGCGCGTGCGCGTTGACACAGCTAGGTTCCGTCGGATCTTCTACGTGCCTGGGAACCATGACTTGTGGGTGTGGTGGCCCGGATCCTGGTTCCAGGAGCTCAGATTGACCCGGGAAATACCTTGGTTTGGAGTCACCCCCCGGTATTGTACCTCATCATAGCAGAGCACCAGAGCACGCACCGCAGCATGTACCCCGGGTGCATGGGAAACGTTTTTGTTTATTTTAATGCATCGTCGTGGTTACGTCGTGGTGACCATGGTTGGACATGTTGGATGGACTTTCTGGGTGATGCAGGTGCAGTGCTGGAATTCCTGTTTTCAGGGTACTGGTGTGAATGTATGTGGATGTAGCATAGTGAGACGAGTGACCTTGGGCAGTGACACTGAGCAGTTCGACAAGCTTGCCGCCCACTGATATATAATGGGATGCATACCATGTATATATAGTGGAGAATGGAAGCGAAGGTGATCAGTTTATTGGCATCTTCAGCTTCAGCATAAAACAAGCACCATCCTCATCTCTTTCAGTTTCCAATATGTTTCCATGATTAAGATTTCGTTCAGAATGCCACTCAAGGCCATTGTCTCTGATTCCTCCACGCCGTCTTGAACTGCTTTCCTGTTTTGATCATGGGAAAGGCGAGTCTTCGAAAACCCTTCGGACATCCAGATACACCACAACTCCGGGCAAGCATTTGCTGAAAAAAACGAACTCTCAGCTGGTGAAACATCTCACCACTGCTACGAACATGTCATGAAAACCTGTTGAGCACCTCCCACGCACCTTCCAAACTTGGACGCGATCTCGCGTGGGGAGACGGGGGTCCAGGTGCGCCGGGTGACCTTGTCCAGCATCATCAAGGGCGAGCAGGTGGCTGAAGTTGGGTGAGCTGAGGTGGGTGGTCCCCCCCCCAAAAAAGAACCAAGCTAAACCTTTATTAAGCAATGATGTCTACAATGCTTAAGCTTTCTGGTCACAAATTCTGAATAATTTATGGTCTTCTGTACCCTCAAAGCACTGGCTGAACGAGGATCTTTCGTTGGATTTGGGTTCACCAAATCTGCAAATCAAGCTACCTACGGGTGCAGGTCACTTGCATCCAAGTTACAATAACTTTCGGATGAGTCCCAATAGTTTCCGGCGGAGACGAGTCGGGTCATGCCATTGACATTGATTTTCGAGGACAGGTGCTGCCACTTGATATAAATTGTAATAGATATGTTTGTTGACACTGACGATGTTTCTGAGGGTGGTTAAGCTTAACTTCCAACCTCACTTCAACTTCACATGGCAGACAAAATCAGGGACCACGTCAATGTTAGTGGGTGGCCACAACGGTGGCAACAAGCATGGGACGGCTGTTTGATGGACGGATTTGTGAGTTCAAACTATGTTCAAACGGATTTGTGGCCACTGTGTTAGAGCTAGAAATGGTTTCAGGATCATGGATTATTACCCATTGTGAGATAGACAACGAGATGTTCAAGCGAAGTGTCAGTTTCTCTTGCTCACCAGACCGGAGCGAAAGCAAAGTGATCCTCTTTGGATGAAATACCTGGCTTATATAGTCTATGCTCTTAGTCTCTAGTCTCACTGGACTCGCCCATCCAGAATGCAAGGAGTTGATACTTATAGACTATATAGATTTGATACACACAATTTTTTATTGCATTTGCAGAACAAGAACTTGGCGCATCGCTTTCGATGGCTCTACCTCCATGTTTTCCGGTGCTCCGAGAGCTGGCTCCAGGTGAAAGATGAGAGGGCGCCTTGGCTGGGGGTGCTATGCTGTGCTTGGGAATGGGAGAGTTAGTTTGAAAGTGATCGTGGCCCGAGCCGTGGAACGTGGCCGCGGAGGCCCCAAGAGGACTTCAGGTGCTTTGCTTTGGGTGGAGATCGCTTCGCCCAAAACATCCATATGGGGAATGGATTAATGGTCATAGGGTTGCATTGTTTGTGGCTTTACTCTTTGAAGTGCAGGCCGCCCCACTGAGTAACCCTCGTGACTCATAGAATTGCAATATGTTCTCATGGTCCACTATGAGCAGTCACCAATCATGAGGCGTTGGACTCCGGTGCAAAAAACCACCTTTTGATGTTATTTCATGCCGGAAAGCGAAGATACCCGCTCAAACTGCATCCCCACTGCATCAAACAGGGTGAAACTCACTTGCAAGCACATGGATGATACAAGAAACTGTTCTTTGGTAGCCCCTGACTACCCCCAACTACAGCTACGAAGCCAGACTTCCAAAGCTTAGACTAAGAAGTAGCCCCAGTCTTTTTCCTTCCAAAAGGACATGGGCGACTCCATCTCCAAGTTCTTGGAGGTCAGTTCGGCCGGTGGGGTGGTTTCTCGAGGGCTGGGCATATCTTTGTCTTTGACCCTGATACATCAATCTGCTGCGGCCTTAAGGCCTTTTGGATTTCCAGGAACACTGTCCTTTTACAATCGAAATCAATGAAAAGAACACAGACTAATGTGAAGAGGTGTTACAGTTCCAAACTGGGGGTGTTGAATCAAGAGTCTACATTTCCTGAAGCCAGAGCTAGAAGATTCTGAGATTTTTGAGCCCAGGTCGGTCACCCCAATTCTAGATCAGATTGAACAAAAACCTGTCTTTGGGAGTTCCATCCCCAGATCGCCCACCTCGGCTCCTTCGATCGACCGAATTGGCGATCTGCGACCGCCGTGGCTTGGCTTCAGCAACGGTGGACCGAGCGGTGTGGGTCGAAGTCCGTGCCGGGCGGCCCGGGAAGACCCGCTGGAGGCTGTGGTTGGTGCGAAGATTCAGATCGAAGTATAAGAGCTTTTGAATATGATTCAGGACAATGCATAGAGTATAGATTTGATCCAAGGAAACAACACAATTATATACTTATTACATATTGATTCTTATGCAGGTCTATGACCTTCGCGAGATGCTGCGGCGAGATGTTGCGAGCAAGCTCAAGCTGTTCAATCTGTGAAAAGCCTGTGAACATGTGTGTGCGTGTCCCACTTGCTTGTACACACAACACAACTTACTCCCCAAGCACCCCAAGGGTCTTCACCAGTGCGTTTGTTCACGTTCTTCGAGATGTCCTTCTCAGGGGGTCTTAGCAGCCTGGGGGAGATCACTCAATGGACTGCTTCCTTGTTGCGTCGACCCGCTTGACGGCACGAGCAAACCAACGGGCCAACTGCACGATTGCAAAGGACCGAACACCTGCACCCCAGTGACTGTGACAACTCATCGTCGCAAGTTGAGCTGAAAGACCACCAGCTTCTTTGACCTCCAAGCAGTCTAAACTTGGGAAGGTCCTGGTTGTTAGAGCTTCTCAGCAACCGAAACCCGTGGAGGCACGTTGGCTCATGTCCATTCTTGGAACCCTTGAGGCAGTTCGCAGTTCTTCAGCGCAGTGCCAAGCGCTGAATCCGCTGAATCAACCACCACACCATGCAGGTGCACAGCCAAACACGCGCTGCGCTGCGTGGGGCGCTGCGCCGAGCATCGGGTCGGAATGGGACCCAAGCGTCGAAACGGAAGGCTCATGTCCTACTTCGCGGGTACTGTGGCTCCACAAGCTGCGAAGAAAGAACACGTCGACTAAAGAAAATCGGTGAAGGACCCCCAGCTTGTACCCCCGAAGAAGCAAGAGAGGTGAACGCCATATTGGATTCACTTAGAATACTGACAGATGACGATGACGTTTCCTTTCTTGACTTGTGAAAAAATGATTTTCGTGGTATTCTCAAGTTTTCTCAGATGAGAGGGACAGAGGCTCCAACTGTCCGACCAGGTTGGTCCACATGGGAGCCAGAGAACAACCAGGCCAGTTTCTGCAGGCTCCATGTCCTTCAAACACATTAAAAAGAAAGACGGTAGTTGTACGGATGCCATACGGTGTTATTATGTGTTAATATGGTTGCTCTATAGCTATGCCTGGAAATCAGATGAAATTCAGATCACTTGTCTCAGCACGGAAGATCATGTCATTGGGGAATTTCTCAAGATATCATTTGCAAGTTAAAACACAAGAAATCAATGAAGTGTTCTCAAGTACAGAACAGTTCTCGCGTTTCTCATGTTTTCCTGCCTCTTCCTGACAATCGATGAATGAACTCGTAGATCAGCCTCACCTTTTGCAGGATGGATCTGTGGAAAGGAGATGGGAGGGGCCGTGGGAGCGACCCCGCTTTTTGACAGAAACCTCCAGAAGACAGCTCAGTGCGACCGGCGGTTTCTCCGGTCGGGCTTTGAATGATCGGGCTTCCGGGGAGCTGGCGTGGAGGCCACGCGCCATTCGGGCTCCACCCAGACGCTCCGTTCACAGCCCGACTAGGGATTGGTTCGGACCCCAGACCCCATGATCGGATTCGGGCCGGTCTTGGGTCGCGTCGGGGCAGTTCGCGCACGTCGCATTCCCCAAGGAAAACTCGTGTCGACTCATATCGTCGAAGCCACGACTCATGACTCATGCCTCCCGCAAACGATCGCAAATGATTTGATGGAACCTGATGGCATGACACCTTTGGTTTCGACCCCTTTGCCGCATACCAGCCCAGTTTTCTTTGTGTTTATGTTTTTTCGGGGTCCCATGTGGCCCTATGTGGGGAGAAACGAGGCGTCGATAGCGAGGCGCCTCGCGAGGCATCAAGGGACCTCGGCTGTGGGTGAAAGCCGAGGAAGATGCATCCAATCTTCTCAAGCATGTCAGACCGTCACCAAGAGAGGTTAAGTGACCCTATAGACTATCCCATAGGTACCCCACTAGGGTCCTATAAGGTCACTTAACCTCTCTTGGCATGGCCCCCCTTTCTGGTTGAGTCGACTTATAAGATCACACAGGACACGGAGAAAATTCTCGGTGACTCCGGACTTCTCCCCCACTGGCCAGTCGACTGATCTCCCCGGTCCGCCGGTCCGGCATGGTCCACTCACGGGTGAACCGTTCGCCTTTCGGGTGAAACGATGTGAAGCGTTCGACCCAGGAAGCGCCATCCGAAGGGGACTCGGTTCGTTGGACCATGTGTGGTGACCAGTGGCGGCCGAGGGCGGCTTGTCATGATCATTCTGAGTTTAGTGGGTTGGTCTTCTGGCGTGTTTGACGAGGTCTTTCGGAAGCTCAACAAGCTGGCAGGATTAATTTGTTCCCCGTTCTCGTGGCAAAAATGCCCACCCGTTGCCATCGCAACTTCCTTGGCATCCCGGAAGCCTCCATCGGCCCCACGGTTTTGGGGCAAATCCAAAATCTGAAAAGCTAAGCCTCTGAAGCCTCTGACTCACTAACAGTATGTGGTTTTGATATGTTTTGACATACCCTCAACCTTAAGCTTATGATTTCAGCATATTTCAGCTATAGGCTATACCGTCCCCCAACGATGGAGTCGCTCCCTCGCAAGAGTCCATGGGATGGAGTGAAGGCACCACGAAGGCGGGCCATGCCATGCCATCCACGTTGGCCCATGGATGAGTTCAGGGATTGTGCTCTCCCACTATTTGATGGAGATCTTCTTTTGAACGAAAGGATGGGAAAAGAGGCAGGCTGGTCAAGTCTTTAGAAACCCCCTAACAAAGCACGGCATTAAATTTTCACAGTGAGTTGTAGTGGATTGGTGTAGAGACCTTCCATTGAACCTGTTCAGAAAGTTTGTGCGCTGTGACCGTGGCAACGTCGTTGGGTGTTGCATTCCATATGCTTTACATGTGTGATGTTGGCTGCCAGAGAAGTAATAAAGCCAAGCAGTACTGACTATGCGGCCAACAGATCATGAGTGAGCCTGGGTGCAGCTGGTTGGCAAGTGGGCGAAATGAGGTTATTGATCTTGGCCGGGGCTTCAATTTCAAATGTTGCAGTTGTTGGCAATTTGGAAGCTGAAGGATCTGAAAGACGACTTCTGATGCCGAGTCTTTTTGAGACCCCTCCCCTTGACTGCATCCTTTGTCGCTCGACCTTGGTCCAGGCGTGCTCAAGTCATACAACTGAGCTTAGCAAGCATAGCAAGTAAAAACATGCCGGTGAATATGAGAACAGGGAGACACCCTGAAGAATGCGGGAAAACTTAAAAGCAGCTAAAGCTTGTTGGTTGGGAGGGCCCCCTATGGAAAGACACCCGTAAAGAGCAAGCGTGACTCAAGTCGAGTTCCTTGTGGGCTTCTTTGGTGAAGTAGCTGGGGCCCCCCTGACTTACCAGACATGGAGAACATTGGTTGGGCACCTTTCGTCTGAGTGTGAGTTTGAAAAGGATTCTGCAGTCGTGTGCTCACGTGGATGGGACCTGAAAATTTGCCCCCCCTGCAGCTCTCACTGCGTCATTGCTCACAGGAGCAGCAGCGGCCCGGACCCTAAGACTTCCCTTGCCGAAATTGGAGGACGTGACGCAGGCGGTAGCTTCCTCATTGTAACGTTTCCTTTTGCTCATGCGGCCCAATGAAAAGGATGCTTCGTCATTTGTTTTGGCAGAATCAGATAAATGGTTCATATGGTAAGGCCACGACAGCGTATTTTACAAAGTCAAAAAGAGTCAAAAAAAACAAATGGAAAAGTAGAAAGCATCACAAAAAATCGGGAAAGTCGGAAAACATATCAAACATGGACAGCAACTCGAAAAAGGTAAAAAACACATAAGACTCTGCCCTGGGCCAATTGTTTTTTTTGGTTTTTGACATTTGAAACTTTCTGATTTGATTTTTCTTTGAACTTGACTTTTGGCACACTATGTTGACTGATTTGATTTGTATAACGTTTGTTGACACCGCGCTCTTTCCAATGAAGGATTTTATTCAGGCTAGAGCTTCCAAATATGTAAACCCTTCTCATGCCCACAACACGTGTGCTGTGTGATTGTAGCAAGTACAGCTTTATGGTCATGTCGTGTGAACTATGATTGTTGATCCAAACTCACAGGTTGGTTTTCGGAATTGGAAAACACATGCGAGAGCTGCTCAGGCTTTGCTGCTGGTTGCACTAACGTTCTACTCCCGAGGTTCAGGGCCTCAGAAGACCTTTTGTGTTTGCTCGCTCGTTGTTCAAAGGGAGTTGTGGAGGTCAGCCCTTTGTTCTGCATTGTCACAGTTGACACCTCGCGGCCAGAGGAGTTCACTCAACTCATTCCGGACACAACAGGAAAAATTTTCCTCAGGCTCACCCAGAAACCACCCTTATATACATTTCAAGACTGTAACGAGGTCACGTGGGTGCCAGCTCTTTCTTGGCTCCAACTGCGACCAGGCAGGGTTTGAGACACGTGAGACACGACCCCAAGTTGTAGAAATGGCATGAAACAGCCAAGCGGCCGCAACCCCCCTCAAAAAAAATGAAGATCATCGTGGAACGTGGGTGGAACTGGTTGTGGACGATACTTTTTAAAACAAAATTTGTTAGGCAGCCAAGTTCCGTGTCCTTTCTTTCTGTGCCTGTTGTGTTTGGTTCTTTTGTCTTTCAAAACAGGCCAGCAACGGGTGGCCAGGCGTCTTTCGCCGGCAACGCCCTCGTTGGTGAACTCGGGCTGCTGCCGCTTTGCCCCGCACTACCAAGGCTGACTGGGTCAAGCGGCGTTCCGCTCCGTCCAGTGGGTCAAAACGCGCAATGCCGGCAGAGGCGTCCCAGTCTTTGTCACCTGAAAGTGGGTTCCTGGAGAGAATATAGTTGTACACCTTCAAAAATGAGCGAAAGTAACATTCCAGTGGAGACCCAACCATTTTCAGATTCTCCTGGGTTGAGTGTTGTTGAAAGTTTTTACATGAATCCTTCTCCCAGCAGGAAAAAATCTCCGCGATTCCAACTAAGCTATGCATCTGTCTACGAAACAAATATCACCTGGAGCCGGTGAAAGCTCCGTGTGTGGCACTCGACAGGGATAGATTGGCAGGACCCGATGGGGTCAGAAAACGTACGACGGAACCGTTGTGCCCAGACGCTCCGTTCACAGCTCTCGACTGGTCCCTCAAAACTGGGATTTGGTTCGGGTCCGGCCCCTACTTATATAGGAGGGTCCAGGGTCGCGTTTGGGTGAGAACGCCATTGAGGATTAGGTCGGAATCCGTGTTGGGAGTGGACGGGAACCTTCCATCCCTTTGACGACGGAGGGACTCGCCATCCATCGATCAGCCCCCCCAATCGCTGCGCTGCTCGAGGAGTGGATTGGCAAGACCCCAAGGTGCGCGAGGACTTCATGGCGGCTGGGGGGACTCAGCTCAAACGTCGTTAGGCCGACACGTCCCGTCGTTCTTGCAGCGATGGTGAGCAAAATAGGTCGATCACATTCTTTTTGGTGGAGACTCATTTGTTTTGGGTTTGGAATTCTCTTGAGATATTTTTTTGTGTGTTGTTGTTTCTGTTGTTGGCACTTTTGGTTATTTGAATCACCCGGTATTTTTGGGTCATTGCTGCAAGAGAGTAAAAATCGTGTACAAGAGTCTCTCAATATTAATAATCGATCGGGTGTTCATGATTTACAAGATTGTTCGGACGAAAGATAAACACATCTTTAGGACGAAGACATATAATAAGATAAAAAGTTACTTTTCTTCGAGTGATCCCCACCATGACATTCTATCTGACATATCTTCTGACATTCTATCTGGCATATCTTCTGACATTCTATCTGGCATATCTTCTGACATTCTATCTGACATATCTTCTGACATTCTATCTGACATATCTTCTGACATTCTATCTGACATATTTTCTGACATTCTATCTGGCATATCTTCTGACATTCTATCTGGCATATCTTCTGACATTCTATCTGGCATATCTTCTGACATTCTATCTGGCAATGTATCTAGCAATCTATCTGACACACTATTTGGCATACTATCTGGCATATCTTCTTGCAGCATTCTATCTGGCAATCCACTTGGCATTCTATCTGGCAAACTATCTGGTTGAGGTCCAGCGGTGCACACTGCGATCGGATCCTTGCGGTTGAG